AAGGGAAAGGGGATCAGGCCAGAGACCTGATGCCACGGCATGAAAGGGACACATGCCGCGGCATGCAGCCCAGGTGCAGGGATCTACGTGTCAGTTTTTAAAGTATAATTTGGGGGCCTAAGGAAAGGTCGGAAAGGATATAACGTTGTGGATGTCGTGACAATTTAAGGGGTTTTTGTGAGATTTTGCCACATGAGGTGCAGAATTAATTAGCCGTATCTTAAAATATAGTAGGATTAGGCCATATATATTAACTAACATGATTAATCAAGTCAAATAATTATGGTCCTAAGCTTTGATTAAAAAAACACTACATATATATATGTTGGAACAATTAACATAGAAGTAAGAGTTAATTGGCAATAGGCAATTGTAGATTAAATTCACAATAGTGCCATCAACCATCTTCATTCTCTCCGTAAACAACCAAAGCAACAATATTTTCCATGTAAATGATTGAGATTCAAATAACATACATATGAGTTATATGGTTAAAAGATTATATAAGAAAAAAGTAAAAACATAACTAAAACCAAGTTTGTGTATCCTGAATCAATTAGTGCGAAAATTTCACACGACTGGGGAATAGTGTTCAATTGTTTAGTTAGCGTGAATTTTTCGTACTAAGTAGTAAAAACCATTTGATTAGTGCAAAATTTATACTAGTTCGTGAAAAAATTTCGCACTAATTGGCAAAACAATTTGGTTCGTGTGAAATTTGCGACTGATTAAGAAATTTCACATTAATGGTCTATGCGAATGCATGATCTAATTAGTGTGAAAATTTTGCATTGATTGAGAAAATTTGCACTAACTGATATTCTTTTCATTTTCTCACCATTTACCGCATGCATCCTATTTGCACAATTTTCACAACATCAAAAGGATATACATGAGAAATGAACATTAATAAAAAAATTTATACGTTATAAAAATCTACCAAAACCTTAAAAATATACCATCACATTCATCAAAAAAATCACACCACTTTTAAAAAAAAATTGTGTGAAACATAAAATATTATTCAAATCGATGACCTTATTGAATATAGTGTTTACACGTTTCAAATGGGAGATGTTTAACTAATTTTAAGTGACTTTTATGGATTGAAATATAGAGAAATTTGTATGAAAATGTGTTAAATAGTTTAAGTAGTCAAAGGTTGGGGGTAAGGGTATTTTGGGCATTATATGGATGGTTGGAATCAAAGGTATCCCTTCAAAAAAATTGGTCATATTTAGCCCCTCAAGTTTTGGTTATACTTTAGTTAACTCTTTTAATAACGCAAACACAGAGGTGTACAATGATAGTATCCACAGATATATTACCTGAACAAATCGGGCTTTAAACGATGGGACTGTCGTGTCTTGACAGCCGAGTGGGTCATCAATAATCCTGAGTCTCCTTCAACATTAAGACTAGTACCAGGTCTCTCTTCATTCTCTTAATTTTTATTTTTTTAATTTAATTCAATCATTGCTGTTTAATTTCCACAATGTGCCAAATGTTGCCAACTTGATTCAATAATACAAAATGCAGTATAAATCCAACTTTTATAAAATCTGAAAATATTCAATTACTAAATTTCTGGGTTCCTGCCAAAACTCGAGATTCTGAGTTACTGGATGAAGGTAGGTATGCTTTCAGAATTCTTCTTATTAAGTTTGGGGTTAGGTGTTGTAAGCGTCCATTGGTTTTACAGTTTATCATTTGGAAATGAGATAGCATTTGCCATAAAGCTCTGCGATAGATTTCAGTTAAGAATTTAAGACTGATGGCAATATGCAAATGTGATCATGTGTTGGTTATTTTTTTCACAGCTTGTTTTTCCTAATATTCTTGCATATGGATAGTGTAGGGAGATTGATTTTAGTGTTTTATGCCATAAGCCATTTATTTTATTTCTTAAAAAGTCTGCTCATTTGATTTATTTTTTTAAATCAAAAAAAATCACAGGAGATGGAAGGCATTCTGCTGTAAATTTAATGTTGACCAAAGATACAGCGGTATTTCTGGTAATGAGAGAGTTGATGGTGCCAAGGTAGATGAGCCTGGTGTTGAAGGAGTGTTAAATGGAGATGAAGAAGTAGAACCACCCCCATGTCGGAATGGTTTTTTTCCTTCCAAGAAGAAGTCCGTAATTATTACATCAAGTATGTCAGCGGCAAGGTTTTGGCATCATGCGAAGAAGCTCGAGTGTGGTGATGATGGGAAGTTAACGTACTTCATACTTGCATGTGCTCAGTCGGGCAAAAACAGAAGCATTGCAAATAAAAAGGTTCATTCAGGCAGATGCAAAACAAATTGCAAAGCTAAGATCAACGTTGTAGTAGATCCTGATGGACAGATCCATGTCTGCAGTGTGGTTCTTGAACATAATCATGACTTGAGTCAGGAAGTTGCAACGTAACAACAAAAGAAAAGTGGAGGTTCTCGCATGAAAAAGAGACAGGAGACTAAAGAACAGGCAAAGAAAGTGATGCACCAAGACTCTCAATCTATTGATGGTGAACATTGGAGCATTGATACTATACCATCAGGTGATCATTTTTTTATGGTTTGTGAAAGGCACTTTTTTTCTTTTTCGTTGATTTAAGCAGGATGTTTGTTAAGATAAATGATTAGTTTAAGTTGTTGTAAAAATTTCCAAGGTACGTATTTTGTCCTCTATTGAGAAGCCTAAAAATCAGAGATTGCAGTGGAGGTAATTTAACTATCAAAGGCAGTTAGCAAATCAACAAGCATATTTATATATTTTTCTTGCTTGTTTGTATGTTTTTTGTCCACAGAACTTTTTCTATATCAGGGGATGCTAAATGTTGGAATCATTTATCATGTTAAATTTCCAAGCTCTTGCTAAAGTCTATGATCTGTTGTTTAATAAAATGCATTTGTAGTCTCTTGACTGGTTTTCAAATGGTTATGTCGTAACCTGTTTGTGTTACTTTCTTTGTACTTTCTTTTTCCTTTGTTGATTACAACCCTAGAAATTTAAGTGTCATGTATGTAACCTTTCAATAGTTACTGCTGCAGTGCAGGATTCTTTAAGGATGTCCTTGCGAAGAGGGCTGTGGAGATGGTTAAATCTGGAATGGTGATAGGACTGGGACGGAAGTACTTATCTCTCGTCATTGAGGAGCTTGGAAAACTAATTAGAGAAGGAAAGGTTAGCTTCTTAATGATCTTCACATTGTGTCACAGTTTTATCAATTAGAGCAGCAGAATTAAAGGATTAACAGGCCTTTTTTTATTGTGTGTGTGTTACCACATACCCTGCCCCATCCCTCTTTCCTCAAGCACAAATATAAACTGAATTGAATTTCTTAAGGCCTAATTCGTAGACCTATTTTTTCTAAATAATAATTGAATTTTTATTTATGCTTTTGAGGTATATGCCACAGCTTTCCTAGGGAACCTCCTTGTAGTTTCTTATCTTTGATGGTTTTTATTGGGTTACTGTGAAGGTGTGTGGCAATATTATTATAAAGCTTGCAATGGTTGTTTAGTTTTCTTCTCTTGATGGAAAACCTAACAATTGGAACTAAATCATTTATATGACACACCACATGTTAAAAGAGTGTGGAGTAGGAAAGAATTTTAAAATAAAATTCTATAGCCCTGGAAAGGGAAAACGAAAATAAACATGTAGAATCAATTTTCATTATTAGCTTAATGATAGGCTGGATTCCTAAGTATTCATAAATTGTGAGTTTAGATGATGTGGACCTGATCCCCATCACTAGATGCATCAATGCTGTGTACAATCAAGCATTTTTATATGTTAAATATGATTTAGTGTTTGAGGTTTTTTTTTTTGGCCTTCTTAAATTATCTTGCAGTTGAAGGATATGTTGTGTAGGAGCAAACCACCAGTCTCGTTTATAGCTAGACAGTTTGGCATGACAACTGTAAGGTTCAGGTTCTTTGGGGACCATATTTTATTTTATCTATCAAAAATATGTTGCATTTATTGGGATTTGTTTCATCGCTATGGTGTTTTTGATGCCTTTACTTTAGGTGATTTGAATGACGCTAACGACATTGACATCGTATTTGTGAGGTAGATGAAGTGGACTTCAATAAAAAACTTATTGAAGGTTTTAATTTCTTCATGTCTCTTGTTGTGTTTGTCTTTCTGAAATCGAATCCTGACCTCTTGATATACTTAATGTATTTACATCATCCTTATTTGGCAGTGCAGGGGAGCTGTTCATATGTGCAAAAGGTAATTAGTAACTGAATGAAAATTTTCATTTGATAGTATATTTTCTTGGTAATACTATTCTAATCAATAAACCAGTTAGTTGTTTGCTTGATGACGAGGGCCTGCTGTTGTAGAAAGTTCTAGCATTTCAAGTTCTATTTGAAGCATTTTTAACTGCTGATTTTCTTGTTTGTATATATAATTCAAGTTTTAAAGGTCTGTGTTGCTACACTCTGTTCATTTGCATATGCTAGCTGTTGGCAGTTTTTCATAGTTTATAGAATAGTATTGCCCTTTCTTGATCAGGTTATTTTCCCAATGGCATTGCTTTCAAGCTAGATTCTTTAACTTGTCATGTATAAAATAAGTTTGAGACGCTAGAACTGTTGGATAATATATAAATTTAAATTCTTAAGAAGCTCAAGAAGCAACCTAACTTTCACTTGGTCTTACTGTTATCATTATGTTGCTAAACTGCATGAATTGCATTAACAATGATGCTAATATATAATTCGATAAGTTCATAGTTTGTAGTTTGGGTATTTGATGAATATTTTAGTAAACCTGCTCTATTATGTTACAGAAAGAAGAAATGCGCAATTAGATGTTAAATAAAAAATGTGTCCTGATGAAGTCCTAAGGGCATAAGTTAGAGAGCTAGGAAATCCGCATTGGTAAGGATTTGTGAGGTTATGCTTAGGGGCTACTTTTTGCTATGTGCCTAGGAATTGCACGAATTAATGAAAAATAATCAATTGAATGTTTCATTAATTCTACTGTGCTAAGTATTCTGTATTAAAACACAGGTGATTTATTCCATGGCAAAGGCGTGTATGATATTGGCTGAAGATACAAAGGTTGTTCATGTCTTGGTAGCAGCATTCCAGTTGCGGTCAGTCCATATTCCTTATTGCAATCAAATTTGCTTGATTTTGTTAATTGAGTTCTCGTGGTGTCTATTGCTATCACCTTTGACATTTAGTATTACATGTACTACATTTTTACCTTCATTTAATAATGACTCATAAGTTATTGCGAGTACTTAGCCCCTCAAAACAACATTGTACCATATTGGTATGAACAGCTTGCATGTAGAAATAAGGAAAAAATTAGTATTATCTTTTAAGTTCATGGTTAAAGAATGGTACTATGAATTCAAACCACTCCTCTCTTCTGTACATTCGGAAGTACTTACTGGAGACCTCTTTTTTCAATATTTATTCTTTTAGAGCATGAGAAAGCACAAATTCAATTGCACAAGTAGTACACGAGAGTCATTGTGGACAGAAAAAATCAACGAGAAGTATAAGTCATCTGATCACTTTGAGGAGAAAAACTTAGTGGGATTCTCACACACATCATCATGCTGTTGTAGTAGGATGTCCAATAAAATATGTAAGTGTCGAACTTGGCAAAAAAATTTTAAACATAAATAATAATAGATTCAAGAACTTTCCTATGTTTTAGGCATAGCTACAACAAAAATCTTGAACGGATCTCTGCTTGTGTGCCCTTCTCCATTCAACTCGCCATCATCCAGCAGCCATGAATTCCTGATGTCTTATCCTTCACTTTCTTGTTCAAGCATTGAAATTTAAACATTTAAATGTTATTTTCCCTTTAAGTCAACAGGTAGGTCAACGATAGAGAAATCGCCAGTAGGCCAGATAGCCATAGTGTACCTGTGCACTAGAAACGGATAGCTTCAATTTCTGCAAATGTTACTCCTCCAATAAAGACTACAACTACAGGGGATCGGCTTTCATCAGCTAATCTAAAACAGGTTTAGTGTTACAATTAAAGTAAATAAGATCCAAGACCTCAATTATACAGACTGGAAAATCCAAATTAAAGTGAAGCTTGGAAAAAGTGTTTTAGTCATGACATTTATTCTCTGTTATGGAAGAATTACTAAGTAATGGAAGAAACATACAAATCAAATGTTTTATGTTCCTATATACGGAAACAAATAACCGTTTGAGCAGCATCCCAAATTTTGGTTAGAAAACATAGGAGTTTGTGGATGCCTGACTCCTGACGGATGACAGCAACTTTGAGAAGAACGGTGGCTTTAGGCAGAGAACAGCATGATAGAGATGAAAGAGAGAAAGTAGGATAGGGTTCAAAATTTTCTTTAGCTGCTAAAAGCCTTAAACTAAGAGAAGTGGTTAATTGATTTAATATTAGGGTTTAAATTTATTTTTTAATATTTTTTTTAATAACTGAGGTATCTGGGCACAATTGTCAACCAACGCTGTCTATCCTTAGGGCCACGGAATGCCCTATAAGCTCAATGGACCAAGGTAATTGATAATGTGGTAGGTGCTTTCCTGAGACTCGAACAAAGACCTCTAGGTATAGTTAACCCCAGTGGTAAGGACTTGCTATCCGGCCACAAGGGGAGAGGTTTAAGGATTAAATTTTTTATGGACAAGTGTCAATACTTTGGTAATATTTTATTGGACAGCCCCACCACATTAGCAAACAAGTGCTGAGACTGTCCCATGTAAAGTTTTTTCTCCACTTTGTGTTCCATAGTGAAAGTTTTGTGGATATGATACTATCGTTTCAGAATGCTGACTAGATGACATTTCAGGTTGAAGTTCTTCCATTGCTTTATCACCTGTTTTGAGGAGGCTTGTTGCTCTTGGTGGAGGTAGTGTTGAAATCGCTGATTGAATTCATATAAAGTGATTCATTCTTAATTATGTTTCTAAAAGTATGTGATTGTTTCTCTTTATTAATATATGGAGGTTTTTATAGGACTTGTCATTTAATCCCTCAATGTATTGGGACAATTTGTAGTGACAAGATTTTCCTTTCTAATTTATCCTTGTGCTGTTATATGCCATGGAGTTCATTTCGCAACTTGACGTGAAAATGAATGCTAAACGAGAAATATTAACCCTTATCTAGGGTTCCCCAAGGTTATTTACCTAAATGGCATTTTCCTGTTCATGTTTTAGTTCCTGAAATTCGATCTGCTGTGATGAAGGATGGCTCCTGTGATCACAGATCTTGGTAACGTGGTGGGTAGATGTGAGGTAAGTTGCTTTTTAATCGTCTTTCTCTTCTCTAAAGGAAAATTAGGTGCAAACTTAAGAATGACTCACAGATTTGGTTGAATTGTGGAGCTAGATCCCTTATCCCCTATGTGACTCTTCTTCTTGGTCAACTCTGAATGATGAAACTGTTTTATCGCTACTTGAAACTCCCGGCCTTCCCCTCCCACACGCTCACACACCTCCACTAACTCACATTTCTTTGCCTTGGACATAAATAAACATGGCATAACTTTACACGTATGTATGTTCTCATGTGTTTGATTTTCCCTCGTATTATTTAGTGGAAATAAGGTTTTCGAAAGGTTCTTGTAGTTTCAATCCTTATGACTATAACTCAACTGCTCATATTTTTTACAGCTTTCCAAAGGGATACAGAACCCTTTTGAGCTGGAGAAGAATTTAAACATGATACCTGGAGTGGTGATAATGGTAAGAAAAGGACTTGAGAACTTGAGCCTTCTATTATTTCTTGGAGCATGCATTTCTAGTATAGCCTATATTTCATTTTCTAGACATACATCAACGCTACCATATTCATAATTTTCAGCCAAGCTTAATTATTCTATGCATGGTTTTTTCATGACATGATACAGGGTGATCAAATTCTTGGACCATCATATTTTCAAAATTAATCCACCTGATAGGGAAACAAAAAAAGAAGAGTTATTCCAGAAAGTTTCTAATATCATCAGTCCTTTACTGTTCTTTCACCATAAAACTCGATGCATTCTAATTTTGTTCTGGGTGAAATCGTTTACTATTATGCCCAATTATGGTGCAGGTATGTTACTGGGGGTTGCAACAGTTGTGCGGTTGCCGCGGTTTAAAGATGGATGTAATGTGAAAGTAATGGATTTGGAAGAGTTTATTGAACTTGTAGAGGCCGGAGAGATGCTAAATTCTACCACATAACAGCAGTGCTTACTTTTGCTGTAATTATCTGGTTATGAGTGAGAAAGAAAAGAGGGGATTCTTGTATTAATGAAGGCCAATAGGGTAGATTTTTGTGGTTTAGTGTGTTAATTACAATATCTTCACCCTTATGTAATTAATTATTCCTTATTTAGCTATGAGTAATAATAGTTTTACAAAGTCATCTATTGTATCAATAGCAATCAACATCACCATTATCATTTACATTCTTGTGATAAATTAAATATCAATTGAGATTGAAAAGAGTAAAGGGACTTTTACAACCCAAACAATGACTTAATAACACTTTTCACACAAATACTTTAAAATATTATTTACTACTCAAATTTATATGCTGTTTTTATTTCGACATCGTTACGATTTACACCATCACTATTCTTTATTTGATTATACCCACTAAAACCCTTTTAACTTTATCTGCAACTCTGTCAATTGTCGGCATTGATGGATTAGGATTTGCATAACTAACCCCATCCCTAATTAAATTTGAACAATCTTAACCACCAAATCCAGTTTTCTACCACTAAGACTCTCGACCTCCTCTTCAAAAAACCCTAACGTTTGGACGACGACAGAATATAAATTGGTAATAAAATGTATTTTAAAAGTCAATGGATAAAAAATGGTCGTTAAATTTGTGTGATAAAAAGTAGTTAACTCATTGAAAATATGAGAGAATGAAGATGTATAATTGAGAGTGGGCAAGGGCCCTCTCAAATTGGGACCAGTCGTCTTGGGTGGATTTTTAAGGCCCAGATGGGTCTTATTTATTATTTTTATATTTTTGTAAAAAATTTTAACCCCCATATTAGTGCAATTTTTAAATAGGAGGTTTTATATTTTACGAAGGTTTAATGAAATGGGGAGAGGGTTGGGCTCGGGCTTGGAGGAGGAACCGCTTGGGCCTGGCCCAATCCCTCCTACCTTGGGTCGGTTGGTCCTAAGACCGGTTTTTGGGCCGAGTCCTTTGGGCCAGGCCTAATTCCCACTCCATGCACATGAAAGATAAATTTGAGGAAGATTTTGAAAAAAAATATCTACTGCAACAAAGGGGTATATGGGACAAACAAAATATAAAAAAGTAGTAATGGTAATGAGATATTATTCCCCAGTTTGTTATATTCTTATAAAAAGCAAATGAACACTCAACACGTAGAGAATCCCAGTGTGTTTGAGCTTCTCCGATTTCAACTCACACCTCTTGTAGCTATTTAAAGCCCTAAATCAAATTCAAACAAACACCTAACCTAATATCATCAACCATACAATTTTACTCACTAAATGAACCAATTTTTTTCAATTGAGCCCCATATACCTTTTTCAGGTTCTTTTTAATTCATTTTCTCACAGTATTTTATACAATCTCATCAATATTACGTTATCAAGTGTTCTTATTACAGAGTTGCCTTTTTTTTTTTTTTTAACCCATTTTCGCCATTTATTTTTGTACAAATTGAATAATAAGGAACCCAAAGGCACAATGGTTAAGGGTTTCTGTTTTTGCTCTAATTGTTGTGTTATTAGTTAGGGTTTGTCGTTTAGGGCTCTGGGTGTGTTTTTGATTATTTGCTATTAAGTTGTGATGCTTAATATGTGATTCCTTCTGGGGTTTTACAGGATGCAATCTTCTTCACGTCCAGATGCTGCGGACGCAAAAGGAGCATTTCGCAAGCCCTTAAATGATGCGCGGTTGTATGGAAATATCGGCGTTCGTTTCCAGTTAACAGGTCGTCTTCGTCTGATGTAGTTTTCCATGGTCTTTGATCTAATACAATTGGAGTTTATGTCAGTATCCTGCGAGCATGTTAACAAGTAATTATTATTAATGTAGAACAGTTCTTGACCAAAAAATTCCGCAGTGGCTGAGTGCACTTTCGAGTACATAACTTGGTCATGGTTTTGCTTTTACTTAGGACAATGTGCGGGTGGGAGAATGCAGAAGGTAGCATGATGTTATTTTTAGTTGGAGTGGGAAGAAAAAAAATGTTACCAAGTTTAGCTGACCATGGGCCTATTCTGTGGGCATGGTTGGGAATTACCAGTGCTAGGTTTCCGTATATTCGTTATCTGCTGGAGTTGAGATGGATTTTGGTGTTGGAATTTAAAGTGGATTCTTGTTTTCAACACTTTAATAGTGAAAATAAAGGAATAACATAAGTCTTTGGTGTTGTCACTTGTATTTTGGATATAAAAACTCATACAGATTGCTGCCATCACACAGTTGGATTGATATATTACTTTCATTAAGGTTATCTTGGAAGTGCAATTATTGCTGAAATAATAGTGGTCTTTGGCTTGGTCGTGCGGTGATGCTATGGGTTGAAAATGAGATTGTTTATGAACTGATATTGACATATATCCAGGATCACAAAGCAGTTTGAAGCTTGTTTTGTGTCAGTATTCTCGTTGGTTATTTTTATGTGTAAATATATGTCTTTGTATATAGGGAGTCCTAAACATGACCGGAGCTCTAGCCCAGTCTTTTCAGGGAAGATCCTGCAAAAGCCTCTGACATCGACAAGAGGAGGGAGGCGAGAGGGAATTAGACAGGGATTGGTCTAAGCCAGTATGGTAGAGGTAGTGGTTCATATAGACATTCTGATCGCCCATCCTCCAGGAGTTCCCATGGTTACTTAGATAGATTATGGCAGACATGAAGCAATGGCAAATGACGAAGAGAGAAATTATCAGAGGTATCCTCACGTTCTGGTTGGGAGTAAGAACTAGTACTCATTCTGATTATCCAAGACAAGAAAGTGATCTTAGTAGGTCTAAAGACTATTTGAGTAGTGCTGACATATCTATTCGTGACAGAAATGATGTTACTGGGCATAGAAGCAAGGATAAGGAGAAGAAGCATCATACTTAGAGCGTCAGAATATAAAGATAAGGATTCCTCATGCGAAGAACTGGATCTGCTAGGAGACAGATTTGCTCAAATTTGAAGAGACAGATAAAAGATTGGTAAGGGGATAGGGATGGTAGAGATGAAAGAGAGATTATCGGAGAGTTCGGGAGACTATAGAAATGATCGTGCAGTCACCCATGAAGAATCGAGGGGTCATCGAAACGATTCACTTTCGGAAGGAACCATGGTGGGCATCGCTTAAAAGAAGGTATAAGAGTGACTCGAAGGAAACTGGATGGCCAAAAGCTTGCCAAAGGGGAGAAGAGAAAAATGATGATCAGGAACACAAACAGGGACAAGGACATGTACTATAGAGAAAAAGCTAATTTTGCAAGTGAAAATCAAGAAACTCTGACCAAAAAAACAAAGTTTCGAACTGGGATAAAGGCGCTGATTTTGTGAAAGATGGTAATCATTTTGTTATGCATTACTTATTACTCTCTACCTGTTTCTATTGTTTGATGTGCATTTGATCATTATCTCGTTGTATGATTAATTGTAAAGTCATCTACAACGTAGCTGCCGAAAAGATGTCTTCAAATTCAAAGCAAGCTCAGGGAACTGGTGGTAATGTGGCTCTTTCTCAGGCCGATGATGGTGACCTGTCAAAATGGTCTAGATGCTGCAAAAGTTGCCGCAATGAAAGCTGCTGAATTAGGTATGAAATGCCTGTATATAGTTACCATCTCCATATGAAATTATTAGTGTTATATACTATTGAAAAATGCTTTACATGATATCTTAGTTTTACGATATCATTGGCTTGTGAATTAGAATCTCATGTCTTTCTTTTGTTAGTTAGGGAAATGGAGGGCAATTAGTATTTTACTTAGGTCAATTCTTGATCTGGCTTTTTTTTCTCTAACTGCTCGGATAGGTGCTGCTCTGCAATTTATCATTTTTATTTGGTAATTGGTAATATGATCATTTTGTTAGTAATATCCCATTGTGTTGCTATGAAATGGACAAGGTGTCATTTCTTCCTCCTAAGGCATGGAAGAGAACAGTTTCATTGAGGTATTTAATTCTAGTGTTCTGACTGTGTTTTGTGTTTCCATGTCCAAATGAATTCTTGGTCATGAAATACTAGTTTAGTTTTAACTTGCAAAGCATGTTGGGTACTTTTGGGCTTTCTTGCTTATTACTTCTGACTTGCTTTTTCACACCTTAGCAAGTCAATATACTATTGGGACTGGAGATTGCTAGACAATTGCTGGCCAGCCTGTCCTAAATCAACTACAAGGATTATCCTACTCAATATTGTTATTTGCTGAATATTATTGTTTTATTTGGGTTTTCTTCTTATTATTTCTAATTATCGTATGCCATTGAATGCTTGGGAAAGAAATGAAAAGGTTATGAGTAATATTGCACTTAAACAAAATAAATATTCTAACTTTTTATCCTAAGTAATGTGGCACCTGGTTTGTCGACAACATATAAAGGTATGATGATGTGGTAAGTAATATAAGATGCAAATAAACTCTCACATCAGTAGGGATACAAATTTGTAAGTCAGCATTACTTAAAAGGTTAAATCTTAAATCGATGCCCTTGTCCCTATATGTAGTTCCATTAACTTAATGAATTCATATCAATGATACTCCATGACATGTTCTCAGTGGATCTTTTTTTTTTTCATACAGTTAATAAGAACCTTGTTGGGGGTGGTTACATGTCCACTGATCAAAAGAAGAAGCTATTGTGGGGAAACAAAAAGAGTACAACCACAGAAGAGGTATTTCCAGTATGTTCCCTTACCTACATATGTGGCTTGTTGGATCCTTTGTGCTATATCCTATGAATCTCTTTCTTTTCCTTTTTCTTTTTCTTTTTATGGGTCCACATTTTTTATTAAGTACCTGGTAACATTTTTGCAGTCTGTTCATCGCTGGGACACTGCATTGTTTGGTGATCGTGATCGACAAAGAGAAGTTCAACAAAATCATGGTAAATATCTTTTCCGACTGCTATATATGCCAACTGCAAATCAATGTCTCTGTCTTTCGTATAGGCTTGCTTTCAATTGTTTTGTCTGCTCTGATAACATCGAAACAGAACCTAATTGTTGCATGTCCTGTATGACTAGTCTCAGTTAGAGTTTATTCACCTACTACACGTTTTAGAGTCTGAGGTTGCCTGGTACATATGGCCAATTGTAGGGTGTGGAAGGGCGAAGTGAAGGTTGAGCACAAACCCGAAATCAAGATGGGCAGCGGTCCCTCCAAGCGGACAAGCAGAGGGGAACTACAGCTGGATTGGAAGCAGTACACAGCTGGACTTCGACGGAGAGTGGAAGCACTGTTGGTTGGGTCTTTAAGCATAAATCCGGGATGTTTTCTCTCTCCATCATAATTTTGACATTGCTGTACTCGTGTTTAAGAATCTTAACTCTTGTGCTTTTACACCGACAGCTTGTTACGGAACTTGGTTTCTGCTATTGGGCATTTCAGATCTTGGAAAATGAAAATGGTCACTTGAACATTGTTGCCTTTAAATCTCAAAATGGGTTCGCTTTTCATGTTTGTTGTTGGAAGTTATTATCATCTCTATCTCGCTTTCTACGTCACAGTTTCAGATTTGAAGACACTGCAACTGTCTCTTGTTTCTTTATAAAAGAATTGAGGCATCTAGCGTCACCATCTCTCATTGAAAACAGAAAAAAGTTTTGTGCAATGGCCAGTAGCGAGGTGTGTGTTGATGATGAAATAGAATGATTTACAGGGATGTAGGGGTATAATTTATGCGTTTATGATGTGAGTGTGAATCACATCAGTCTGTTATCAGAAATAAAATTTCAGATGAAGCTGAAAATGACATGGAGGTTAAATTAATAAACAGAGGGAAAAGGGCAACGACAATAATGTAGGCTACCAACTTTGTGGAATCACACTGAAGGCAATTGATGATGATATTCTGGTGGGCACTAATTAAGCTTGTTGCAACAAAAATGAATCAATTATTTTTTTCTTTCAGATTCTTTGTGACTCAATGACAAGTCTTGTTTTAATTTTTCTTCTATTGTTGTATTATATTCGTATAATGCATTTTAAAAGTAATTTTCCTTCTATCATCATCTTTTTCATTGTTTGAGATTGTTTTGTTCCATAAGAAAAACTTCATTGTTTTTAATCTTTTTTTAATAGTCAATAAACAAAACATTTAACAATTGATAGTATAAGAAATAATTTCCCAAATCTCTTGTATTAACCATAGTACAAGATCCAATAATGTAACATATAAAAACAAAGATCAAATAACATATAACCTTAAAAAGTGCAAGGTTTCATGTTACTTAAATAAGAAAATAAAAATAAAAAATCTATCCATTGGCTTGTTCAATATGGATAGAGCAAAAAGCAAAGAGGACCCCCAACAAAACTTTGTTAATAAAAGGGCAAGACCCCACTTGAACCCTGTAGGCCTCCACACTTAAATTCTAGTCTCCTATCATCTAGCACAACATGAAGAAGCCATTTTTCATTTGCTAAGGGACCTAAACAGTAATCTCTTTATTTAATTTCATTATCTTTTATCTAGTTATATGATAGCCTCTCTCCCTCTGTTTCTTGATGAATGATGGCAAGAGGTGGGTTCATTCTGGAAAGTGCCATTTGAATTGCTTTGAGAATCAATTACGTTATGTGGGTTGAAGCATATTTTCTTCTAAGTGCACGCAACGATTTGGAGAATAATATCATCACAACTTTTTGGCTACTCCATTATATCCTAATTCAATGTGCCTCAACATTACCTGGATATTGGTTGTTTTGTTTTAAGTTTATATATTTAAGATGTAGATTCTAAATCTTTTATAACAATCCTAAGAGATCAAACAACTAAATTAATTGTATCTACTAATGCTAATGGAAGATTCTTATTCTTAGTTTATTATTTTTTGGGGTTAATTTCATCTGCTCACTAAATAAAGTTAAGTTTCAAACACTCAAGTAAGTTTTCGAAAATTATAAATACTCCTTAAAAAAAAAAAAATCAAAACATCTTTTAAAAGAAAAAAAAAAAAAAATCTCCCTTTTTAAAATATAAAGCCTATCTAAGGTAGTTTATTGTTTAAAAAAAATTATTAAAACACTTGAAACTTATATATCTCATCTTTTTTATGATTCTGTGTATTATTTTTTGGATATTTTACTAATAACATTGATATTTACTTGTTGCTGGTTTTCTTAATACATAATGCAACCTACCTAGTGTCCTAGGTTATCAGGTTTAAAAAAAACAAAAATGTTGTGATATGGGGCAATTATCCTCTCCAAATCATAAAAAAAAAAGTTGTATTATTATAAAGTGGGTGAACGGAGAATTTGAGTCTTTATTATAGATGCTAAATAATGATCTTAAATAGGAAAATGTATCAGATTACAGGAATGAAGACAAAAAATGTCCGTTCACCACAATGAGAATTTCAAACATAATATTAAGTAGAAAGAAGTGTTATTTCTTATCTTGTTCATTGTTACTGTTTTGGCTTTCCATCAAAATTTATTTCTTATAGTTCTATCATTCACATCTTTTGTTTTGAGTACTCATACGAAATGGGATTAAAAAAACAAAAAAAAAAATTTTTGCTCAAAAATTTTATAAATTTTTTTTTTTTATCGAAACGTGCAAAATTTGCACAATAAATTGAACATGATTCACATGGAACTATATAGATCTCAATCTTCAGTGATGGCTTTGGTTAGCCAGACCCTAATTGGTAAAGTTGTTTCAGAAAATGTGACAATACACATATCCAAAAGTATTAAGACATGATTTTTTTTACTGGAAAAATAATATAATTTGAAGTTGGCATAAATTGCGAAACACATCATAGATTGGTCACAATAAAGAAGTACCATTCTTATGTCACAAGAAAAAGTTATATAACTCTTGCCCTTTTTTTTTTTTTTTTTTTTTGATAACCTGGGTGTCCAAAGGACACAACTGACCTAACCCTGTAGTCATTAAACATTCTAAACGTCCAAAGGACTAGGTAAGTCCCCTAAATCGGGTAGGCATGAAAATCCCAAAGATTTAAAACCTAAAAAAATTCAATAAATAGGACGAAACCTCCTTGTGTCATCAGATCAATCCCTTGGGGTTACCTCTGGTTTTGTTTTTGTTTTTTTTTTGTCAATAACTTTTTTTTTGGGATTTTGTGCCAATATTAAAAACTTAGTGAGAAGTTTTTGGTAAAAGTATGGATGTTCTCCCACATCCACATACAATGAATCGGATCTCTAATCACAATGTATGATGTGGATACGTTGTAAACCCACAGATCACCCTAAAACCTAAACTAATGGTTTGCTTTGTTTAATTATCTCATCTTAACATAATTAAATTTGATTTTGATTTTGGATTCTAAATCCCCACTATTAGTCTTAAAAAGCAACCTTGATTTGGGTTTCTTTTTTTGGGATTTCCATTTAGAATGTAATGTCACGCCATCGTTGAACCTTGAATGGTGGGTCCTTTCTGATATGAAATGGTGGTCTAAAAACCAATTGAGTTTGTTCTTTTGCATACCACCAAACACCACACTCCGTGAATCAAAGATGATTTGAGGGCATCAACAAATCAAATGATTTTTTTTTCCTTTGATTATGATTCCATTTAGAGGGTCCCCACCAACCCCCACCCACTAATAAATTCTAAATTAGATCTAATTACCCTCTATATATTATTCTCATTTGGACATTAATATTCAATTTTTAATTGGAGACAGTTCTTCATTAGCCAATCCATTAGTTTCCAATCTTTTAAAAACGTCTTCTAATTCAGAATGTGGACATGTAGTATAATCCTCTTTAACATATCAGTTCATTTGACCAAACAAAAGCCAAAGATTTGTGGGACTACTTAGATGTTGTCAGTTGTTTTTTTCAAGCAATATACATTTCTAAGTTTCATGTTTTTTACTTATTGCTTAAAAGGTCAATTTTATCCATCATTTGAGAGATTGTTGTAAAGTTTAATCAAACGTCTACAGTTTTTTTCGTGAAATTATAATACATCTAAAAATGGACCCAACCTCCCTCTCTAAGCGTCATACAAGTTTTTGATAAACTATTAAACTACACCTAAAATGCCCACACCTCCTCTAAGCGTCCTATACGTTTCCGTGATAAAACCTATTAATATGAAATTAATACATAAAAGAATGGGGAAAAAAAAGCCAACAGTTCTTAAAAACAAATAAAACTGGATAGTTGGAAAGGTGTGGCAACCCAATAAAATTTCCATTGATGCTGTGCGGTTAAAGAGATAGACTTGAGGAAGTCTACTAAAAAATTGGATATTTATTAACAAACCAATGCCCATTTTTTGTCTGGATGCTAGCTTAATTTATATATTTTTTTTTCGATAAGTGTAGAATAAGACCATGACAACCAATAATTAACAATTAAAAAAGAGAGCAAAAATATCCAATCAACAAGTTTTCATGGTCACTAACAATATCATTTTTTTTTGTAATCCAAGTTTGATATGCAACTAGAGAAAGAAGATAGTCATAGTCAAGTAATGACCTATACAAAAAATCCCATGATAAATAAAAATAAAAGGTGCTATTGCATTCTCACTCTGGGTCAACCCCTTGTTAAAATGTCTAAAATACTAACCAAAGTAAATTCATCCATTTCTGCAACAAGAATTCACCTATTCTGCCCAAACCCACCAACCCAACATAGGATTCAATAGGATCTTTCTAATAATATCATGTCTCGTCCAATCATAATTACATTTTATATATATATGATTATTATATATATATGAGGAGCTCAAGAACCTTGAGTACATTATTATTCTTTTCAATCTTTTTTGAACCTTTGAGAAAGCATGAAGTGATAGGACAACTCATATTTTATGAAGTTAATTATTTAACTATATCTAGTAGCCACGTAGTTTGATAGAAACTCTGAGT